ATTCTGTAGGATGGAGCCATGGCAGTTAAAGTGGTGCCAAGCTGCATTGTTTCTACAGTGTAGATGCACACCGAATCAAAACTGGATGTCTTACTTCACAGGTATCCCAGTACTACTCTATTAACACCTCACAATTTTCACATTAGAAAATGAAGGTCGTACTTCATTTTCCTTCCTTCATTTAGTTAAACCCCAACTGGTGCTGATATTTGGAGAAGGGCTTTCTCATTCTCTCCAGATGAAAATAGGGGCACATCTGGCCAAGCAACATCATGCATAAGATAGTATTAAGAAAGAACACACAAACTAGGAAAGGCTGCAGCACTTTGCTTTTGCCTGAGCCTATTGAGAAGTGCAAGATTCTGCCCCATCCACTCTTCCCTCTGCTGATTTAATTTAGTACAAACTACATTTGCACTTTAAAACTCAATTTGCAGCAATTGAAGTAAGCTGAAGACAAAAGGAAAAGGTCAGAGGAGGAGGAGAAAGAAACTGGGACCTTTTAAAAGCAGTTGAAAAGTGGGATGATAGAGAATTAATCAGGAATGTCCCTGCTAAATCAAGACGGCTGAAGGGTATGTTTTCTTAGTGGTGGCACCTAAGCCGGCAGTTCTCAAATTTTGTTTCCAAAGACCAGTTGAAAACTGCTAAGGACTTTTGGTGGACTACTCAAGGAACTTCTATTTCTTCTACAAAGCAAAGCAACATAGCCAATTAGTTTTAATAACTTGTCTTCACTGACATTGGCACTATCATCAAAATTAAGATGGATAAATGTTATGGTGGTGGTGTGCCTTCAAGTTGTTTCTGACTTATGTCAATCCTAAAGTGAACCTACCATGAGGTTTTCTTGATTTGTTCAGAGGAGGTTTGACACTGCCTTCCCCTGAGGCTGAGAGAGTGTGACTAGCCCAAGGTCACCCAGTGGGTTTCCATGGCCAATCTGGGAATCGAATCCTGGTCTCCAGAGTCGTAGTCCAACACTCAAACCACTATGCCACGCTGGCTCTCAACAGGATGGATGGATAGCATTTATCTGTTGCCTCTCAGCCTACCAAGATCCTCACAATGCCATAAAAGAGATAAAAATATTGTTATGAAGATAAAACTTTTTTGGCATGTTGCCTGCATCCATCCATTCTCTCCTCCACCTTAACTGCCATGGCTCAATGCTTTGGGTTTCTGGGAACTACAGAATTTCATAAAATTCCAAAACTACAAACTACAGTTCCCAGAATTCTATAGCACTGAGCTTTGGCAGTTAAAGTGGTGCCAAACTGGATTATTTCTGCTGTGAGGATGCAGCCAAAGTTGCCCTGTACTAACCAAGTAATACTGAACCTCTCCTCCAATTTTACTTATTTATTTTTTTGTTTTAAAGTTTAATACTATTTTATGGACTGGGTGGTGATACAGAAATACTTTCAATAAATAAATAAATTTAAACATTACAATTAAATTGCTCTTTTGTGAGAAAATGTGATATTACCAGCCCTAGCGACTCTCTGAAGAGCGATAATAAGCCAAGGAAGGAGGGCAAAAGCATATAGATGGATTTTTGAGACAAAGATGGATTGATGGATTAAATGCTTAGGATAAAAGGGATAGATAAGATGGCTAGTCGGTCAAGAAGGGATGGGTGGAAGGATGGTTAAATACCGTAGATCAGGGGTCGGCAACCCCCAGCCTGCAGGCCGGGTGCAGTTTGCGGAGACCTTGGGACCAGCCTGTGGCCGGTGCTGCTGCCGCCGCGCAGGGGGGCACCATTTTGGCATCCAAAATGGCGTCCGCGCTTGCGCACGCATGCGATGGTGGTGGGTGCCATTTTGGAACGCCCAACGGCGCGTGCACCCGCCCGGCCCCAGCCCCATTCCCCCCCTCGGCCCCCCGGCAACAAAAGTTGCCGACCCCTGCCGTAGATGAAAGGGAGGATTGAATGGACTGATGGATCCTGCTCCACTGTGCAAGCAACCCAAGTATCATTTAGTGCTAAAAAATTTTTAGGAATAAGAAAAAGAGAATGCACCCTCTCTAATATTGTAGAGCTCATTTAAAGTGACAAAATGGGCCCTGATATGCCACATAAAGAACCAGCATTGTGCAGTAGGTTTGAGCATTGGACTAGGACTCTGGAGACCAAGGAAATCCCACTTGGTTAACCTTGGGCAAGTCACACACTCTCGGCCTCAGAGGATGGCAGTGGCAACCCCCCTCTGAAGAAACTTGCCAAGGAAACCTAGGGTTGTCAGAAACAAAGGCACACACCACCACCACCACCACCACATAAATACACTTGTGGTACCTCCCTTTCCCTCTCCAATCCTAGCTCTGTGACTATCTGGCTTGCTCTTCTGCCTTTGTTGTTGTCATTGTCGCGTGCCTTCAAATCATTTCCGACTTACGGCAACCCTAACGTGAACCTATCATGGGGTTTTCTTGGAACGTTTCTTCAGAGGGGGGTTGCCACTGCCATTCTCAGGACGTTTTCACACGGGGGTCTCTAGCAACTAGCATCATTCCGCAATGAACGAAAGCAGCATCATTCCGGTATGCTTCTGGTCGCGCAAATGTAATTTCCCAGGAAACCAGCATTCAAAAGAACGAGGATGATGCCGCATTGGGACGGGGTTGGGACGGGGTTCTCTGTGACGTCGTGTGAACACACGGGAAAAGGAACCGCAATGGGACGGGGATGGGACAGGGTTCTGTGCAACATCATGTGAACACATGGGCAAAGGAACCGCAATGGGACGGGGATGGGACGGGGTTCTGTCTGCTTTAGACCCCGTGTGAAAATGTCCTCAGAGGCTGAGAGAGTGGGACTTGGCCAAGGTCCTCCAATATGTTTACATGACAGATTCGAACCCTGGTCTCCAGGGTCTTAGTCCAACACAGAAACCACTACGCCATGCTGCCTTGCTCCATCCCTTTTGAGGCCTTCCTTCTCTTCACCTTCATGGCTTTCCCCTCATCCATCTTTGGCTAATTGCTTATGGACGCGGGCCATTCCCTCACAACTCTACCTCCCTTGTCCTCTGAATGCCCCATGCCCTACATTCTTGTTCCCATTCTGTCTGGCGCCGTCTAAGAGCTAAATTCTAAGTTACAGGGAAGAATTAAGCCCCTGGAAATGAAAAGAGAAAAGAAAATAAGGTAATAACTAACCAGGTATCTTTGAAGCAAAAAGTCAAACTACCTAGTCTGAAAAGTGGGATTCATAAATTCCCTGGAAAGGAAGATTATAGTAGAATAATAACCCACTGGGAGACCACAACAGAATAATAACCCACTGGGTGACCTTGGGCAAGTCACACTTTCTCAGCCCCAGAGGATGACAATGACAAACCTCCTTTGAACAAATTTATCTAAGAAAAACCCATGATAGGTTTCCCTTAGAGTCGCCATTAGTCGGGAACTACTTGAAGAGGAACACAACAAAGTAATAAAGAGAGAGCCAGCCTGGCATCATTGTTTGAGTGTGGGACTACAACTCTGGAGGCCAGGGTTCGATGTCCACCCAGCTGTGAAACCCACTGGGCAAGTCACATGCTCTCAGCCTCAAGGGAAGGCCATGGCAATTCTTCCCGGAACAAATCTTGCCAAGAAAACCCTATTAGGGTTGTGATAAGTCCGAAATGACTTGAAGGCAGACAACACATAACAGAATAATAATGACGAAGCATTCTGAAGGAAAATCATATAGAGTGGTGTACAATTAAAATAAACAATCAATAAAATTATAATAGAAGAATCATCCTAAAAGAGAGAATAAAAACTCCCATAAATAGTATGCCTGACATCATACATTCATCACACATGTGGCCAAGGACCATGAGATGATGGTCCAAATGGCTGAAGTTATTAATGGCAGAAAATGCCAGCTTAGGAGAGGCTGCAGCAGTTTCCTTTGCCTGAGTCTACTGGGAAGGGTCAACTTCTGTCCCTCGCAGCAGGGGGACTGAATTAATTGAGTCCCAGTTAATTAATTAATTAATTAATTGGAACTGCCACTCAATGATCGGGACAGGTGGAGGGAATGGAACAATTATCCAATTTTAATTTTATGTTTAGATTTTTAAGTTTTATGGGTGGTTTTATAATCACTGGTGAATACGCCAGTCATTTTAAATTAATTGGTATTATATGTAATTTTAAAGGGGGGTAATTGTTTTACTATGTCACAATGCACTTTAGGTGTGTTTGAGGAACTGTTTGTTAGCCGCCTTGATTGCCTGTCAGGCAAAAAGCGGGATACAAGAATAAAGTTATTTTCTACGTTTGTACTTTCAACTCAGTTTGCAGCAACTAAAGTAATCAGAGGATGAAGGGGGAAAGTGGGAAGAGGAGAGAGAAACTGGGACAGTTTAAAAGTATTTTAAAAAGTGGGATGACAGAGGATCAACTGGGACAATCCCTGCCTGGTTGGGAGAGTTGGAGGGTGTTTTTTGTCTGTAGAAAAACAGTTTTATACGGCACATAACACTGCCATGAAATGCCTACCTTTCTTGGAACTTGCATAACTTTTGTCTTATGAAGTTTCGATTGATTTGCTCAATAAATATATTGTAGTAGGGACTAATAAAACACATCTGCAAAATTGAGGGTCATAAAAACTTTTTTAAAATATGCTGATTTTAGCGAATTGGGCATATTAAATTCACCATGGCTTTGACATTTCTATATTGTAATATGTGACTGAGGCTGCATCTACTCTGCAGAATTAATGCGGTGTGATGCTGCTTGAACTGCCATGGCTCAATGCTATGGAATTCTGGGATTTGTAGCTTTGTGAGATATTTCGCCTTCTCTATCAGAGAGCTCTGTTGCCACAACAAACTACAAATCTCAGAATTCCATAGGATAGAGCCATGGAAGTTCAAGTGGTGTCAAACTACATTAATTCTGCAGTGCAAATGCAGCTTAATTGGCTTTCAAAACACTAATTCACTGCTATGAAACCCCAAAATCTGTTCAAAAGCACTAAAAGAAATTACATTTGAACATCTGCAGCCACACTTAAGTTGAGTAAAAACTTAAGTCTTAAATGATCAAAAATTATTAAATTTGTGAAAGAACTGTGTGTGGTATGTATGACATTTCTATTATGTTTTTTTTTAATTCAGCACCCTAAAGTACATTTAAAACAGCTACAATAGTGGAAAAAAATCTTCATTACAGGTCTGTGTAAATGGATTTAGGTCTGAGTCTACTTTTCAAATACCTATTAAAACAGCAGGGAAGAGGCACTGTTTTAGGAGAGCCATTCCCTTTGCACTCACATCAGAGGGGATGCCTCTTCTAAAATGGCCATTGTAGTGATTGTGTTTGTTGTGCAAGGTGCCTCTTCTTCTCATACAACAAATACTATAACTAGAAAGCAAATGGAGTGTGGTATTTTCCTACAAAACTGCAGTTTTACGTGTTAGTTGTCCAAAATCTGTGGAAGTGTAAGCAGCTCATTGACCACTCCATTAAAGTTCAGTTCAGTAATTAAATAAGATTTCTTTCACTGGCTAACATCCTAAATTACAGGTG